GAGAAATCTAATAGATGCGGAAACCTGTGTGTGTGTATGATGTGCCGCTACCGTGCCAGCTCCTTCCCCTTCGATGAAGAGGTACCTGAAACCAAAACTGTAAACTGTAAGCACAAAGCTTAGTGAGTTCCCCCATCGTACCACATGTCATACAATACATAACATACATACTGCCAGGCTATTCTGGGGTGCCTGAGTACCCGGTACGGCCATTCTGGGGTGCCGACTACCCGGGCGGCCATTCTGGGGTACCGTCCTACCCGTGTCAAGCCATTATGGGGTGTTGACCTACCCGTGTCGAGCTATTAAGGGGTACTGACTACTCTTCGGTCCTAACAACCGAACCTCGGAGACTATTTTCACCCCCTATTACTACCATCACATATATCATAACACAAACATAATATCAGACATATCTGGGGTGTCTGACTACCCTTCGGTCCTAACAACCGAACTCTACTACTATCACATACAACATATCATGCTAGCATATAACATATCAAGTAGTAGAAAGCATAGATGATATCACAAAGACAATCATTTATCATACATCTCCTACTGGTGGGTCGTCATTGTGGCCTTAGACCCACCGCTACTGGAAGGCAACTCACCTTGGAGTAGCTGCTGATCTGATCGGGAACTGACTGTCTACTGCTGCTGCTGCTGTTCCGGAAATCCTCCGGCTGTAATCCCCACAACTTACTTAATCAAATACTGCTAACTGCCCTTTGGGTAAAAAGACCATTTTACCCCTGATCATGCCTTAAGTCAAAGTCAGAGTCAACTTTCAGTTGACCCGACTCGCCGAGTTGGCTCGCCAACTCGCCGAGTCCCTGTCCAATCTACTAACCTGGATTGTATTTCTACTTGTCGAGTTAGGCGTTGACTCGACGAGTTCTCCATCCAAACTGATGTTTAAGTCCTTCATCTTGCTCGCCAAGTTGTATGAACAACTCAGCGAGTTCATCTTCATCCGATGAACACTTATGCAGCGACTCGTTGAGTTGTATGAACAACTCGCCGAGTCTGATCTTGATCTAAGGAGATTGCCTTGAACTCGCCGAGTCTGGGCATCGACTCGTCGAGTTCCATTATGGGTGAGTTTTGGCTTCCAACTCACCGAGTCCACCCTGGACTCACTACACAGCTCGACACAACTAAAAGGGGACAATCTCGGAGACTCGTGACTAGACTCGTCGAGTCAGATGAGCGACTCGCCGAGTCTGCTTCATGCAAGAGCCATATACGCGATTTTGCTCGAATCTAGTCCATTCCATTCATAGATCTGGACTCCTAGATCATGAATAACACGTAAAGTTTCCAACTTTACGTGTAGATATTCATCCATGAGGGTTTTTAGGGTTCAAAATGAACCAAAAGAGTAGATCTAAGGTCTTCATGCAATATGGGTCCATAAAGGTAGTAGATATGAGTTGTTGGAGCTCAACCATGCCTAGATCTAGAGGCCAATCAACTTATTACGAAATATGATGCACATACAAGCTTGGGGAAGGGCTCAAGGAAGACTTTAATGGAGTTATAAGCATAGAGACAGGGGGAAAATGAGTTTTACCTCAAAGAAATCACTGAGAGAACACTAAGATGCTTGGCTTCCTTCCCTTCCTCTTGATCTACTCTACTTCCTTCTCAAAATCTTCAAGAACACACACTAAAATGCCTCAAACTCACAAGAACAAGAGCTAGAACGTATGGAGAGCTTCTGGGGGTGAATGGGGCGGAGTTGGGGCGCAAATGGTTGTTTAAGTAGGGTGCAAACCCTTGGAAATTAGGGTTTCATCAGACAGCGCAAACTCGCCGAGTCCATAATATGGACTCGTCGAGTTGCCATCTTAACCGCGCCCCAAAGTCTCGTCTCTACTCGGCGAGTCGGGCCTCCAACTCGCCGAGTCCACGGACAAAAACACAAAGTACTTAGGCAAAACTCACGTACCATGAACCAGGTGCTACAACAATACTAGACCCTAAGGCCCAAAAGGCCCAACTCATGCAACTCAAAGCCCACTAACGAAATTATAAGGCCCACCTACTATAAACAGGCCAACGTCTAACACCTAACTAAGGTCCAAATGTTCAATACCCAACCAATATCCATAAACCCATTGAGAGGTATACGCTCGACATACACGACCGATGTGACATCCCCAAAATCTCGGCCAGAAAAGACCGATTTCATTTATGCTTTTTAAAATAATTTCAGAGTAAATCCTTTTGATTTAAATATATATTTTTATACATAGTAAATCCTTTTTAAAATAATTTCAGAGTAAATTTTTTAAAATAATTTCAGAGTAAATTCTTTTTAAACCCATTGAGCATGGTCCTTTTGGGTTGCCTTCACCATAGCAACTAATAGGATGAATTAAGGAGGAAGAGGATTAATTATGATATATTAATATATTATGTAAACAACATATTAAAAGAGAAAATCATATTGCAACAAATAAGATGAATAAGAACACATAATTAATCTTCAATGCACACTATTATAGATGAATAGGCGGGTACATAAGATTCACGATTCAATATTATAGACCAGTTCAAACACAAGTTCGTCAACTATTGAAAGCCAAAAATCAATGTTATTGTTTCGTGAAATACAAAAACCAGAAAAATCCTAAATTAGACCCTATTACAAGCTTACACCGATGATTTCTTGAAGGCGTTTCCATGGTCAGTCTATAACATAAGCATCATCTTTGTCTTGAGCTTGCTAGTCAAGGTATGTTAATGGTGATCTTCCTAGATTGGCCACCGAGTTTGCAATCAGCTCTTTCTTCTTGGCAACACAAATTATGGAAATCTTATGCTCTGACCCGAAAACTACCGATTGCAATATTATCATCACTAGTAGGGCGGCAACTACATGATGCCCAAAAACACAATCACTATTGTTTTAGTTATAGAGAGCTTAATCACACACCAGAGCCACCACCTTAGGCTCTAAGACCCTAAATTGGAGTCGGATTGATGTTGAAAAAAAAAACAGATCCTAAAGAAGAAGCTCCATTAAATTGAGAACCCTAAATTGGAATCGGAGTATGCTCTGGTGAGGATGGAGAATAAGCTCCACGAATTTAAGGCGGTACAAAATGATTGTTACACTTATGTGATGGGATTCAGTTTTCAAACATTATCCGGTTTTTCAATTCCAGGAAGAACATGGTTATTGCCACGAAGAGAAAAATAGAGCTGAGGGTAAACAGGTGAGGAAGAATACGTTGGAGAAGATGAACTGGGGGTACTTCGTACATGAGAGAGAGAGAGGGGGGGAGAGAAAGAGAGAACCTATTTTTATTTACTATGTAAAACACTTATAGAAAAAAAAATATAGAAATAAATCTAATAAATGTTATTTAGTCATTTTAATTTTATGAGGGACCAAATCTCCATACAAACATGGTCAAAAAGACCATTAAGCTAAAACAAAGTTGAGGTTTTGACTAGACCTCGGAAAAATGCATATAACAGGGATCATTGTTGCATTTTTTTTCTTCTTATTATTATAAACATAATACAAAAAATATAATTATAATAAATCTACTAAGAAAACAGTAACAATAATAACCAAAATAACAGTAATAAATATATTTATATTTATATTAATAATAATTATTATATGTATATTATTAATTCTTATTATATATATATATATATATATATATATATATATATATATATATATATATATATATATATATATATATATACTAATTGTTATAATATTTATGTTAGTAACGATATGAAATAAATGTTATTATATTTATAATTCTAATATAAAATAATAGTAGTTATAAAAATACTTAAAAGAAAAATGAAGGGAAGACAAAAAGAAAAGGAGGGAACATTTTAGCTTCCCGCTCACTAATATTCCCACGAAATTCCTACAAAATAACATTTTTTAAATATAATTAATATTCCGTTGGAACTCTGTTGGAAATTTCCAACGCTTTTCCTACAGACTTTTCATGATTTTTATGTTTGCTGGTATTTTGTTGGAGTTTTGTTGGGTTCCTCTTTTGTTGTATTTTTGTTGGAAATCCGAAGCAAATTACCAACAAAATATATTTGTTGGTAATTTTTGGTAGCTAAAACCAATTTTTCTTGTGGTGATAAGACCAAGCCACCATGGGTAGATTTGCGAGGTAGGATTCTGAACCCCATTTCTGATGGTACCAAAAACATTAAACAAAAATATACCGATGTACATGATGGTTATATAAAACGTAAATGCAGCCTCCAATGATTTGGTAGATGTTTTGATGCTCAATGGAGGTAGCTTTGGAGGTGGGTTTTTTAGACACACGAAAAGGACCTAGTAGTGTTTGTACTAATACTCACAAAATTTAAGTGGAAGGTACGCAAAGATAAGGACAGAACACAGATAATACGTTTCAATAGAGTCACATTGCCTCTATGTATTGAATGTTTGTACAACATGCATGATAAAACATACAATTGGATGGATGGTTTATAAACAGAACGTAAAAGTATAAGGGCTATTGATGCAACTTAAGCTCAAAACAATTGAAAGTATAAGGGCTATTGATGCAACTTAAGCTCAAAACAATTGAAAGTATAAGGGCTATTGATGCAACTTAAGCTCAAAACAATTGAAACCGACGCAAATCACTGGCCTGTACAATATGTATTACAAAATTGCTTGTATATTGTGCATTAGGAGATGTACTTTTAGCTACAGTACATCTCCTCACATATAATATAAGAAGTTGGTTTTTGTTTATATTTACAATTTAAACGTTTTAAATAATCATCACTCATGGATCACTAAATGGTTAATTATTTTGTAAATCGTACCCGGGCCAATATTATTCAATCTACCTGTAGGACGTAGACACTTTTCGAATTTCATTGTGTACTAAAATATAATTGGCCGCTCAAACCGTTGATTCAGATGTCATCATTGTTTTATTTGTGTGTGCATGGAGTTGACGTAGACCGATAAGGCTATAAGAAACCTGATGTCTTCTCACTACTCTCCATCACAAGAAATGGCTAAAACTTCTCCGAAACTTCTTGCTCTCCTACTACTCTTCCACATCCTGATCACCATGACAGTGGCGCGACCTGTCATCCTGGAAAAGAACCTCAAGAATCCTGAGAGTTTCTTCGACCATGATCGCGGATACCTAATCCCAGGCATTGGACGAGGTATTAAACCAAAGTGCAAGGATGGTTTTAATCCATTCACCTACAATCCTGTTACAGGTGGTAATGATGGATTCTTAGGTGACGTGCCTACGGTTCCTAGCGTTGGTGGTCGAAGCTATGTGCCTGGTGGTGATGACACGTTTGTTCCGAACCCTGGAGTCGAGGTCCCGAATCCAGGAAATAATGGAGGCATCAGTCCTAGTCCTAGTAGTAAGTGAAGGGCGTTGTAGGTTTCCGTTTGTAATAAGGGTCGATTAAACCTAGCGTGGTAGTGATGTCGTTTGGTGTCTTGTTTAAATCTTTATATTCCAATTCCAAGATTTTATTATGTATGATGCTTGTTGCAGGATGGTTGGAAAATTGAAAATAAGTTGTTTTTTACTTGGTGCATACTCTAATGTTTTTATATCACATACTTGACAACTGCAACCAATGTTTTAAAAACCGGTTAAAACTAGGAACCGAAGACGAGAGCAGTTTAACAATGATTCGTTTTATGCTCATTTCTAAAAGGATTAAACTTGATCATTTCTTCAAAAATCGGGTTGAATCAATATAATAGAATAGGCAAAAAATGTTTGAACCGGTTTGTTGGACATAGATACTTCGATTTCATTTAGCATGTTAAAAACAAGCCATTTCCGAAGTAAATTGAACAATCAGATTATCCAGTGTAAACAATTTGAATGTCGACACACACTACACATCGGTGTAGACTGATCTTCTCAACATGAAGACCAATACTTCTCTATTGTTATGTTTATAGCTTTATAATATAGTTCAATATAAAACAAATTTATATTTGTACATGTCAAACTCTTGGTTTTTTATATAGATGTATGTAAGAAAACAAAAAATACATAAATTTTTTGGAAACAAGATTCAGCCGACGATTGAACCGGAAATCGATCACTAGATTGATTCAACTAAAAGATCGATTTTTAAAATATTGACCAAAACGTCTTGAGCTATTTGAAGTCATGACATCTTTAATTAAAAAAGCTATTTGGAATCGGATTAGGGTGTGGTGGTTAGTTGATTTACGTGAGGTCACCTTAGTTTTCAATCTTCTCTATTGGACCAATGTCGCAGTTATCCCGTTATCCCGACTGCAAATCAATAGGCTTTTAATGTTGTAGTTATTACTATCTTGCTGGATCATTTGGCGATACCAAATGATGTTAATTTTGTAATGGATAGGGCTCATAGAGACGAGATTTTTGATGATATAATGTTCGACATCCCCATTTTCACGATCAATTTAAAATTTATTATTTATGCTTTATTTATTTCAGAGTATAAAACTTAATGCAAAATTTGTTCCCAAAACATGATAATATCATTATCAAAGCATTTCTGTGGAAATGTATATCATTTATATTTAAAACCATGGGATATCATCATCAATGCAGATACAAAAGCATAAACAAATCTTAATAGACCTTACAAAACCATGGGATATCATGATCAATGCAGATACAAAAGCATAAACAAATCTTAATAGACCTTACAAAATTTTATTATACTAATAGCCTACAAACTCCTCAAATCACTCATCATCCAAATGTCTTCATACCACTACCTGTAATACAAAGAAACTGAGTGAATCAAACATAGAGGCCTAGTGAGCACATAAGGTTTTCAACCCCTAATAATTAAGTTCTTTTAATCATATATTTCATATCAAATAATTTACCCGATTATTATTCCCGTTATTCTCATATATTAATCCTAAACTACTGATCTCAATGGACCTATCCTAGAGATCATCATAAGGAATGGAAAGACAATACTACTTGGAGAATTCATTTAGCAATATATGTCACTAAGACAACCATGGGGGTGCGGGTGTGTGGAGGATAGAGCATATCAAATGAATAGATAATTTATTAACACCTACAGGTTGCGAACATGCCAACGTTTCAACTGGACTGTCTAGAATAATTTGTCATCGTCATCTATACTCTGCTAGACGACAGATTCATCAATAGTTCAGTCCTCTTATCATCATCTTATCATTTTCATCACCATTCACTACCCAATATATTTTATACAAATATAGGAAAATACATATATGATTAACTCAAATAAAAATCATATAATTCATTTAACATAGATATCAAGTAATATAGATAATAGGCATACATAGTATTTAATCATCTACATACTTTATATCTATGTGTAACCTGAAAGTAACAATGTACTCACTTGTTAAAGTAGCTGACTGGAAAATTAGGCAGCGTTTCACTTCAGCACTTAGTCTTTCCATTGAGGTGACCTAGGTTCAGTTATCACTAAGCCTTAGTTTAATATTTCTTATGACTAATTAATAGTCTCGATTCTTGCTTCGAGTGTTTCAGCTAAAAAATCGACTAATCTAAAATTCGATTGTTATGCTAATATAGATGCGCTGACATTTCGAAATATCATAATTTCCTTATACAAAGTCGGATTTAGACATTCTCTATATGCATGCTCTCGGTTTTACGATTACTTATTTATATTGTTTAGCATAATAAGCAATCTTTCTAAAATTCACTTTTTACGACGCCCTTTATCGTATCTGTTTAACCGCAAAACTTCAAACGATCATAACTTCTTTCTTCTCTCTTTGTTCGACCATCATAGCCGGAATCATTGCTTAGACTCCTACAATCGTAATTAGTTCTTGCATAGGCATTGCCCCTGGTGCATGCTTGACTGTATGGCGCTCAAGCTGCTGATTACCATTACCGTTTCCTAATCGGCTCTGAGTTCTCACCATGATGAATTGTACACCAAAGCAGACGTTCAATGTACCGAAGATAGAAAAGGTTTTTAGTTATGTTAGACACATAAGACTTCTATGTCACTCCAAAAAGTTATATGTCAGTTCTAATACCGTAATTAAAAGTTTAGAATCTTAAACACATAAATTTTTTTAATAAAAGTCGACAATAAACCTTAAATACAATCAAGTAATAGCAATTTAGGTAGGAAACATAAGGCATGCTATAATTCAAAACAATAGCACATAACATCAACTTGGTCATCTTATTCTAAAGTATTCATGTGCTAGTGTCAATTCAGGTATACTACCTAAAGTATAATGAACATACATCTCACAATTATCGCTTAACAATGTAAGTTTAAGTCTAGAAATCCTCAAATATTTCTAGTTCTCTTAAACTAATGCTTTTATACCAATTTGACATCCTCGTTTTTACG